GTCTGCATTACACTCACTCACCATAAATGGCACAAAGCCGGCACGTCTGCATTACACTCACTCACCATAAATGGCGCAAAGCCGGCACATCTGTATTACACTCACTCGCCATAAACGACACAAAGCCAGCACGTCTGTATTACACTCACATGTTCACCACCCAAGGCGATGCTACAGATCTGATTGTCTGGTCACATATAGGAAGGTCTGAATCTTCTCTGGTAGCTTCTGAAGAAGCCTTTCAGACAGCATGGCTGTGACTCTGCAGACAAATTCTGCTTGAAGATACTAATAAGCACCCATGAGAGCAATTGAGAACAATGACTCAAAGAGAAAGGTTTGAAAAAAGATGTAGATAGACATGTTGAGGCTTTATCATTGAAACTGTGAATAAGTAAAACCCTTGGCTAAAATTGAATGGCCATGGGAGGTGTTATAGTCCTTAGCTGTAAACTCTTTCGCTGCTCTCCTCAGCTGGGGGAAAACCCCTCCCTGCCTGGCAGCTTCTCCGGAGCCCCCCGTTCAGCTTTCACAGTGGCGTGTGCGACTCACCAAGATCACACACTCAGAAATAACTGCCCCCCCCCCCCCCATTGGATGAAGCTATTTGTAGGAAAGAGGATTAGTGTCCCACAGTGGTGTACGGACATCTTAAGTGTTCAGCGAACATGTAGATGTTAAGTTGAACATTTTCTGGGTGTGATTGATGATGGCCACTTTGTGGGGGAGTATTCTACCAAATGTACAATAGTAAAAACGTGTTTCACTGGTGTGGTTTCCTTAAAACACACTGTTAATTCACAGTGTTAAATATAATTGCTGTATTGGTATTGTAAGGGCCTGGATTCCTTTATTGGCTAGTTACTTCATAGTCTCAGTGTAAGAGCTGAGCAAGGGGAATTCTTACGGACAGATTTGCTTCCAAAAGGGCAATCAATGCTCCATAAAGTGTAAGGGGGCAAATAGTGGAGGCCAGCTGTCAGGGGTTCAGAAGGGGAGCTAATAAACCTGTCTGGGTGTGATGGGCTTTGTGGGTGGGGGGTCCCACACATGCCTCAAGACACACCGATAGCTCAGGGACGCACGCTTTATTTTCCCAAGGCCATGACAGAAAAATCAAAGTGCACTTTATTTGGAAGGGCAGAGGGATACAGGAGCCTGCTTAGAGGAATATTCGCTTGCCACCTTGGCCTGTTGCTTGGGCGAGCACAGCGTACACGTCCCCCCCCCCCACACACACACACCCCCAAACAGTCCCTCCTCATCATGCTCTGTCCTACCTACAGGAACCTTCAGAGGCGTCTGCAAGAGGATCGACCACTTTCCTGAAGATGCTGACTACGAGCAGGATGCTGCGGAGTACTTACTGCGTGAGTGTGACTGGTCTACCTGCCACGCACTCAAGCATGCATACACACACACACACGCACACGCACATGTCGGGTAAACATATCTTTATGGGAACCGCTCATTCATTTCTATGGGGAAAATGCTAATGCTAACTATGACAACCTGAACCCCTACCCAGCCCTAACCATAACCATAGTAACCAAGCAAAATAAAACAGCTTTTGCATTTTTAGTTATTTCATTGCAGATTTTTATTAAATTGAGTTTCCCCATAAGGTAAGGTATACCCGCTCACTCACACATGCACGCACACACACACGCACATATGCATGCTCACACATGCACACACACACACACACGCACGCTCAAACATCCACATGCCTTAGGATTGGTTGTACACAAGGCAATGGGAGTGCTGCATATGTTTAGAAGTGAAACATTTAATCATTCTGGTATATTTGTGTTTTCTATGTCCGATGCACTACATTTCCGCCTTGGAATTATTCCGCGGACCACCGCCCTTGGTACTTCCGGTTAAGCTCCCCATTAACTTTTCTCCATGACAAATACACCAGGAACCCTCTAGCAGCAAGGCTGGCCCTCGTGCCATCCGCTGCAGGCACATGATCGCCGATTCGGGGGTAGAATTGAGGATTACCTCCAACATTTTTAGCAGCAGCTTCCTTCAAAGAGATTAGCAGGGTACAGCTTTCTGCTTCTGAAAAAGTGAGCAATCTTTGGCTTCAGGAAACTCCCCTCCCCCCCAACACACACACATGGGCGGACTCACCACCTCGGCGTGACGCTGACGTTGTGCCACAGCTGGTTAGTGCGAGCTGGGTGTCTGGTGACATCACCTTCCCGTGGGTAACGCGTCCAGACCTAAAAGTCTTCCCATTTCCTACTCTCTATGAAACATCTCAGGCAACACTTCCATGCACAGCGGCTCAGTGGGCAAAACTGTCCTCACATCAACATGGTTGGGCGTTCAAGTCCCTCCTTGGCTCCATGTGTTTGCAGTTTACATGTTTTATCCACATTGTGTTGGTTTCCTTCCACAGTCCAAAAGCATGCAGTTAGACTAATTCATTGACCATAGTCAGTGAACCTATATATGCTCTGTGATGGACTGGTATCCCGTCTAGGATGTCCCCTGCCCCATGCCCTGTGATGGACTGATATCCCATCCAAGGTGCCCCCTGCCTCATGCCCTGTGATGGACTGATATCCCATCCAAGGTGCCCCCTACCTCATGTCCTGTGATGGACTGATATCCCATCCAGGGTGTCCCCCGCCTAGTGCCCTGTGGTAGACTGGTATCTCAAATAGGGTGTACCCCAGATTTGTGCCCTGTGCTGCAGAGAATAGCATCCAGAAGCCCTTGTGGCTCTGACTTGGATAGAAGAAGATGGATAGATGTTTTGCTACAGGCCATGGAAAAGACAAACAGAGCTGCATTGTGGGATGGCTCCTGGTAGCTTGTGGGGATCCATCATCACATGGTTAGAGCCTGTGGGGGCTATTTCCTAGTAAGGGTCTCTCACCGTCCTCTGTCAGCCATCAGGCTGTAGACAGAAGGCAGGGAGCCTCTCATTTACTACCGTTTCATGCTCTGAATTTTGATTGGACACCGGATGATTTAAGCGAAGAAACGCTAGGACTCCACGCCGGTTATTAGTGAAGCCGCCTGAGGTGTGCTGGGCACCCCTCGACCGAATGCTCTCCCTTAGCACAATCTGCTTCACCATCCTGACAGATGCAGTTAAGTCGCCCATCATTATTCCTCCAGAATGCTCTGCTGGAGTCTCACAGCCATGCTAGTTGGCATATTGTGACAGTGAGCGTCAGTCTCAGAGAATGGGCATCTCAGAGGGAGACTGTGAGTGTGTGATGTGTGTGTGTGTGTCATTCACTCAGAAAATTCACTGAAACATGACATGGCAAATTCTGAAGGCTAGTTAAATGAGTGATAGATTAATGCTATATATCAGCCCGATTTTAACACGCAGTAAGATTAATCCTTAAACGTGGGTAGCAGTATATTAAGACTACAATTTCAAGTCTCATAGTTATTATAATTATTACTGAAAATTCGCCTTGGTTTACTCTGCAGAAAAAGCGATTTATAACGGCTTATGGATAGCGACTTTTAAAGAAGGATATTTATACTTCCTGCTTTTCTCTGTAGTTTTGTGTGAGCACAGTGTTCCATCAGAGACCTGAGCTCACTGCACCAACGTGTTGAATGTAGCTGCCGCTAATGACGTGCTTCAAACAAGCCTATAAACAGAAGCGTTTGAACATGGAAGACATACCAGCGACTGGGGGGAGGGGGCAGGCTTGGAGGAAAGACGAGGATGATGAGTGAGGAGGAAGGGCTTCTCAGGAACACAGCGAATCGACGAGGGGCTGAACCGAATTTAAATAACAGCTTGGGCTCTGACCCACCCACAGTCACACAAAGAGCAAAACAAACAGCATGCTTTATGTATTAGTACTGACATGACATGCCCTGTGATGGTAAATGTAAATAAAAGGTTGGATAATTTCCCAGAATCCTCTATTCCGGGGCTGCATTTTCATACACTCGACAAATCCTGTATTGTCCAGTGGATGCAGGTTGGGACTTTAGAGCAGCAAAGCCATCGTCTTCCAGCCCTGGGTGCACATCTCAGCTCGGTGCAGGAGGAGAAAGAAGGACAATGAGGGACATGCCCTTTGCTGATGTGATGACCGCAAGAATCGCGTCATCCCTGACGTATCTCGACATGACACAATACATTTCGGCAGAGATCTTTTTTTTTCCCTTAGATGCCCATCAAACACTCTGTTAACAAGGATCGCCTCTGATTATCTGCCCCTGTGATTATGGTGCTCTGAGGGCTTCCACTGTTTCTACAAGGTGCAGCTGACCTTTTCATCCAATGAATGACCCACATGAAGCTGATCTCTGCACCTTCCCGGCTCCTCAGCTCTGTGTGCTCGCCACACCTTCCTGGGGTGAATTTTGGCCATTTTAAGATGCGGTGAAGGCGATCCGGGCAGTGAGAAACTTTCGAAGGATACCAGGGAAATGAGGAAGATGGGGGAGATATGTACCCCCTCCCCCACAGGCACCAAAACAATAAAGAGGCACACAGATAAAGACAGGGAGAGTGTAGAAGTAGGGGCTTGTGTTGAGAGAGTGAGAAGATGCTTGGGACTGACAGCCACAAAATGGGACACAGCACTGTTTGAGATGTGCACCTGAATCAGGAGCCGTGAGATGGTTCCTTTTAGATGCGGAAATGTGGTATAACAAGCTTTGTGTGAGAGGCCCCGCTGATCATACCTCAGTGACTGTTTGCTGTTACTTCTGTTCCTGTGAAGGGCTTGTTCCCGTCTTTGCTTGCATGTTAAATTATATTTAGATGAGTGTACAGACTGTAAAAAGTCAAAGTTCCCTTTTAGATTATGTTTAAATGAAGGATAAATTTGAATTAAATATATAGTTCTGAGTAGATGACTTTCAGCTGAACTCTACATTTCTTTAATGTTTTCCAGCAAATTCTTGGACTCCGTGTGAGGGAGAATAAGTGGGACATGCTTAGTGCGGGCTCGTATTTCCTTGAGCGATTTATTCTCTCTCTCTGTTTACAAGGGCTGGGTTCGCCTTTTATGCGCCGTGCTTCAGATAAAGGGAGACGGCGTGCCGGGAAACTGGGACAGTGCGAGGCCTCGCTAAGCCGCGCAAGCTGCGGGTTTATGGGACGGAGGCGACGATACCGCTTCCAGGTGCCCGCGAGGTGCGCTGGGCCTGCGCCGGCCCGCTTCTGGGGATGAAAACCTGAAGCCTCTGCTGATACCTGTGCAAACTGGCTGCCCTCCGGCTGTAAGATGAGGGCTTTATGCTCGCTGACGCACAGGCTGACGCCGTGGGTGTTCACCCTGGGCCTCGAGGGTCTCCCTGTCCTGGCACACTGACCTGCTGCCTGCGTGTGCTGCAGGAGTCGGCCATAAGTCTCTGCTCCATGACCTGTCAACACGCGGCTCCCTGAAATGAGTTTAGATCTTGGTCCCAGCTGGAAACAGGGTAGGAGTCAGCTAAAGTGCTAGACATAGCATAGGGTTCAGTCCAGCTGCAGGGATGGATAGAGAGAGAGACAGAGAGACCGAAACCTTTCACCTACACTGTCAGAAAAAAGTATCAGTTTGCACTTTTGAGGGTACAATTACTTGTCACTGGAGCTGTACCATCAAGGGTCTGCCAGTTGAATCCTAGCTGTAGATAAATGTACCTTTAAAGGTACAGAAGTGGACTCTGAGGAACATTTTTGTACCATTGGGGTACTTCCTCTTTTTTCTGACAATGTACCTTCTGTGTAGGACATTTCCTGTGTTTTCAACTCTGTTACATGTTTAAATGACTGACAGACCCTGTCCTTCTCCTCACCATAATCAATACGAGAACTTAAGATGACGCTTGACGTGTCAGTCATTCTTTAGTATGCATAATGGGAGTCAAAAGGGAAGGAGAGTGGAATATGAATGAGACTGGCCCTTTAACATACGTCCTGTGCAAAAAAAATGGGCCAAACACAAATTGCACAACATTAAAGGGACCCTATTATGCCTTTCTGGTTTTTCCCTTTCCTTTAGTGTGTTAAGTAGCTTTATGTGCATGTAAACAATCTGCAAAGTCTTAAGACCCAAAGTACACGCCATAGGTAGTATCTCTCACCACAAAAACCATTCTTCTCTAACCTGCTTGAAACGGCCTTGCTTCTGCGACATGGTGAGGTCACCCTGTAACACAATCCTTATTGGCGGCCTACCTGCAAGGATCTCTCCAGAACAGGGGCAAAATGTGTAGGGCAAGCTGAGCAGTTGGGCAAGCTGACCAATCAGAGCACACTGGGCTCATCGGGGGTAAATAGAGATGCACAGTATGAGAGAAAGATGTGTTTTTGGAACATAAGCATGTAGACCCCAAAAATAAAATTATGAGCAGTGAAAATGAGCACAATATGTTCCCTGTAAGCTTTGGCCCATTTTTTTTGCCCAGGAGTGTATGAAGTGGATTATCATGTCTTGGGGAGTCCTGTTTGAATGGTCAGCTTCATTTCGGTTGAAATGCACAGGCACACTTTGTCTTCCATAGATCCCTGTAACCTGAACAGCGCCTGGCGCTGACTGACGCTGTTCCTGTGTCTGTCTGTCCCGCAGGGGCCGTCAGGGCATCCAGTATCTTCCCCATCCTCAGTGTGGCGCTGCTCTTCCTCGGGGGGCTCTGTGTGGCTGCCAGTGAGTTCTACAGGAACCGGCACAACGTCGTCCTGAGTGCCGGAATCTTCTTTGTGTCCGCCGGTGAGGAGGCCTCCATCTTCACTGGGGTCGGGGACCCTCTCAGGAAGCTCATTAAGGGCCATGGATCTGAGTGTAGTGGGTGCTTTAAGACAGAAAGAGAGCTGGGTTCATTCCTGGTGGCACACACACGGTGACATTTACATTCCATTTTAGTTATTTAGCGGATGCATTTATTCAAAGAAACATATAAAATTGAGAAAGCAGCGTCACCCAGGCCCTGGAGCGATTGGGGCCCTGCTCAGGGGCCCAACAGCAGAATTGTTCTGTCAACCATGGGATTTGAACCATTGACCTTCTGGTTATACGCACAGCACTCCATCCTTAGTCTCTGTGCTGCCTTCACAGATGTGTGTAGGGTCAAAATGGCTTTGAAAGCGCCGTCCTGGAACGTGTGAATGTGAGAACCCCGCTGTTGACATGGCTAGGGAATGTTGGCTCTGATTAAACAGCGGGCTGCAAATCTGCAATCTCCTTGTTGATTAAATATTTACAGCGTGTCATTAGGCAGTAGCAATGCTGAAATCTGGCTAATTGAAGCCCCTGATGGAGACGCCACGTAATGTCAGGCAATTAAAATGTTGTGCCTGTTTTGATGCCATCGAATACAATATAAATATAATCTGCTCTTGCTCATGCTGCAAAGTTTAGCTTATTTTTTAGGGGAGGAGAATTCTTTTTTCTCACATGGAGCGTTTTGGTGTACATCTGTGAAGTCCACCACTGTGAAGACATATGGAATTATGGGAAATCCATGTGTTACTCCTCTCCGTGTTATTTTTTGGAGGGGGGGGGGTTCAACTGTGTGATGTAACCGGCTGCATGTTCTACGCCCCTCCTCCAGGCCTAAGCAACATCATCGGCATCATAGTGTACATATCGGCCAACTCCGGCGACCCCGGACAGAGTGACTCCAAGAAGAGTTACTCGTACGGCTGGAGCTTCTACTTCGGCGCGCTCTCCTTCATCGCGGCCGAGATGGTGGGCGTGCTCGCCGTGCACATGTTCATCGAGCGGCACCGCAAGCTGCGGGCCAAGTCGCGTACCGAGCTCCTCAAGAAGTCCAGCCTGGGCCGCATCCCCAGCTACCGTTACCGCTTCCGCAGGCGCTCCAGCTGCCCGTCAAGCGAGCCGCGCTCCCGCGACACCTCCCCCCTGGGCAAGGCCTTCGCGGGCCCCCCCGCCAGCGCCACTGACATCTCCATGTACACACTGTCCAGGGAGCCCAGTAAGGCAGCCATGAGTGCCCTGCTCAACTCGGAGAGGGAGTTTCTGCAGGCGCATAACTCCATCCCCAAGGACTTCAAAGACAGTCTGCACAGTAACACAGCCAACAGGAGGACCACCCCGGTGTGAGAGCCATCCAGACAGACGGAGGGAGGGAGGGAGGGAGGCGAGAGCAGAGGAGGAGGAGGAGGAGGAGGAGGAGGATGCTAGCTGTATTGCTGAGGCTTTCAAAACAGAACCACTGAGGCCAAAAGCCAAGCAGCTGCTATCACAGTCTGTAGGGTTGGAACTTCTTTATATAAATATATATATATATATATTATAAATGTTGGTGCTTCCTTGATTTAGCTTTTCCAGTCACTTATCTTCTGTTACAACCCCACACGTGGTCAGACCCGCCAAGGACAAGCTACTGGAAAAAAGGAACAATTTCATTTCTCCCCTCCAACTTTTAAAAGAGTGTGAAAATGTAATATCTCAGCGGGCTCTCCTTCAGAAGGTGAGCAGTGTGTGATGTTGGGGGGAGGAAAGGTGTTTGTAGTGCAGGTGTATCTGCTGGCTGAGAAGCCTGTGCTGCTCAGGTATCAGTGAGCAGCCCTGCATGTCTGATCTGGGCTGAGTGCCTCATTTGCAGATGACTTTACCCAGCAGCCTTTGCTGTCCTATGGGCTGTACATGAGCACTAAGCCCAGGCTGGTGTCAGATGTCACCGCTAACACCCTGACCATGTGACTCTCACTGTTTTTCTTTGTACCCCCCTAAATGTCTGCCAGGATGTCCCCTTTTTTTCTTGGTTCCAATAGATGTGAAAGCCATTTTGTCCTATTACCAAGTCAGTAGTATCATATTATGCAATAAGAAAAATGTATTTGAAGAGAACAATAAAGTTAGCCTCTCTATGATTAGTAATGTTTTCTGTGTTGCTGGACTGATGTGGACATGCTCATGTTCCACAATATGTGAGTCTGTGGTTAGGTATGGTTTAATACTGTTGTATTTCATGATGCCCGCCAGACACAACCTCAGCCAGGCAACATCAGGCAGGAAGACACAACCTCAGCCAGGCAGACAGGCAGACAGACACAACCTCAGCCAGGCAGACAGGCAGACAGACACAACCTCAGCCAGGCAGACAGACACAACCTCAGCCAGGCAGACAGGCAGACAGACACAACCTCAGCCAGGCAGACAGACACAACCTCAGCCAGGCAGACAGACACAACCTCAGCCAGGCAGACAGGCAGACAGACACAACCTCAGCCAGGCAACATCAGGCAGGCAGACACAACCTCAGCCAGGCAGACAGGCAGACAGACACAACCTCAGCCAGGCAGACAGGCACAGACACAACCTCAGCCAGGCAACATCAGGCAGGCAGACAAACACAACCTCAGCCAGGCAGGCAGGCACAACCTCAACTGGCCAGAGAAACAACCTCAGCCAGCCAACCAGACACAACGTCAGCCAGCCACAACCTCAGCCAGCCAACCAGACACAACGTCAGCCAGAAGGAATTCAGTCAGCAACAGCTGGACACATCTGCACCAGACAAGGGCTCTTCTCCTACCCGAAACAGCCTTTGGTCTGTGCTGGACGACTCAAAACTATCCTTTACTCATTCATTCTTTCCTTCCCCATCTGGCCAAAACCCTGAGACGGGTGACCAGAGCAAGCACCCCAACGTATCCTCAAAAAATGAAACCCAATAAACAGGATACCTGCATTTCTGCTTCAGGTGGAGCTCACTTTCAAGCCCCCTCCGTTCTCCTTATGAAGCATGTTTCATTCCTCCTTCCCTCCTGCAGCACCTCCTTAATAGTACACTGCAGGTCCACCATTAAACAAATAAATCAAACAGACTTATCTCTGTTCACCAAAAACCTTTACTTGTTGCATTTTCCTTTAGTAACCATTAATCAACAGAAGTCAAACGATAGCAAAAATAAAAGATCAGTCATTATTCCCAAAACCATTTGTCCAAGTCAAAAAAAGCGATAAACATTTCAAATAAATGAATAAAACAGACTTTGGAAAACGAAAGCATCAAAGTGTAGAAAGGATATGTGCAAATTCTTTCATCCACATGTTCAGTAACTTCTGTATGAAACTAAATACATTTTGTGCATTTTAAATAACATTTTACACAAGGTGAGAAGCAGTCAGAGTAAAATAGAGTAGACAAAGTGTTAGAAAAATCTCTGTATAACAGGGCACACAATTCAAATGAGATAATCAGAATTTGATAGTGATCATGTAGTCAAAGTAAAATACAGTAGACAAAGTGTTAAAAAAATCACTGTGTCTGTATAACAGGGCCCACAATTCAAATGGGAGAATCAGAATTTGATAGTGATCATGTTGTCTACAGGTAAATGAACTGCAGGATTTGGGGAGGATTGTGTTGTGTGAAGGACAGACCTTAATGATGAGGATAATCCAAATTACACAGGTGCCCCTCTACACTGAGATGTCAAAACAAACACATGGAAAACAAACACCTTTTCATTAAAAATAAATCCCCCCCCCCCCCGATTTACAAAAAAATCAAAATCTCTGCATGAAAAAAAAATCCCTAACATAAAATTATCATCACATATTCCATTAGCAGCGAGACCATATTAAACATTAAGGCAAAAAAACAAGTGCATTTACGTCAAACATATATGGGGGCAGTGTAGAAAGGAAACCCCCCTCCCCCGCCAGCTCAGAGCAGCACCCGCCGAGATCACTGGACGTTGGAGTGGTAGGCGCTGTCACCTTTGTCACCATCGTGGTACATTTCTGGCAGCAAGCTAAGCGAGTCGAAGCCCTGCTCCAGGCCGTTGGGGACGCCGGTTGTTTTGGAGGCCATCTGCAGAGGTACCTCCTGGGAACACACATCTCCTGGGTCTGCAGGAAGGCAGACTGGATGCAGGAGGCGAGAGAGCGGAGAGGGGGGGGGGGAGAGGCTGACATGCCATGTACTCAAGGCAGGAAAACACAGCACACCCCCCTTAAGCTTAGCGCGAACCTTCACGGTTTTTAAAGGGAATGTGGGAATTTCCACCCTGCTGCCTCTAGACCATTCCTAATTCCTCACCGGTAAAACCAAAATCCACCAGTATCACGGTAATCACATCTCTATTCACGAGTTCTTAAAATCAGCACAAGCATGCAAATTTCCACCCCTGGACCCGTAGGGTACCCTCACCCCAAGACAGCAGACAAACTAATTCGCTGTAGGTAATGAGCTCTGACAAGGGGGATGAATGAGAGCAATCTGCCTAGTCCATCAGGAAGCCAGAAAAGCTCGAAATGCAGCATGTCGGAGAGATTAGGGCTTACAGGCAGCCACGCTCTAAAAATCAATAGGTCTCCTGTCCCCAGCCTAAGAGATACTGGTATTGCTGCTCAATAATGATACAGGATTGCAGTTGGGAGTTGTGGGTGTGTCCACTGCCCAAAAACAGGCTCCGCCTCCCACCTTCCCCTGTGTGTAATACAGAGGGACACCTCAGCTTGGGAGAGGGTGAGAGGTCTGAGGTCCTAATGGCAAACCTGAGAAAGGACACTGATCAGCGTGCAGGGATGGTCGGGGATTTAGGGTTAGCGATAGTGTTCAGGCCACTGACTGCCTTTCACATTACTGGATATCGTTATGGTGTTTCTCCCTTTTTAATCTTGCTGGTGGGCCCATGGGCTTAAAAGTACAGGAAACACAGTGTTCCAAAAACCCAAGTCTCCACACAGTAACACCCTTGCTAACTGGGAAATGGGTTCAAAGCAGTGGACCTTTTCCCAAGCAATTGGTTTAAATGCTTCATAACTCCGAAACGCTTCGCTTTGTCTAACCTCTAAAGGTTGGTGACTCCAGTCTCACAGAAAGAGGCCCAGTCCACCGAACCCCTCCCCCCACCCCCCACTAACCCACTCCACCAATTCTGCTACTTTCCGCCCTGCCAGACGACAACAGACCGTAATGCACTTTATGGTCATCTCACTGATAAGACCAATGTCGTGCTATTTTCAGAATGAAGCATTAAACGTTGACAATTGGCAACTTTTACTAAATGCCCAATGCGAGGTGTAGGGACGCATTTGATGCATGTTTACACAGGCTTTGGTGACTTATCCAGTGCACACACACACATGGATAAATTGCTATCATACCCAAGATGGAGTCCACAAACTTTCACAAGCTAAGGCCAGGAAATTCTGGGTGGGCAGCGTAAATCAGCCTAGGGGGGGTCCTCTAGCTTCAGTTACACCATGTCCTACTAACAAGGGTCAACAGCCATGACCTACCTTGGGAGGATGAGAGGATGGGAGGATACCCCCCACCCCCCCCTCGACCTACTGGAGGAGGACACACACACCCCCCACCCCCCCCTCAACCTACTGGAGGAGGACACACACACCCCCCACTTACCTGGGGAGGACACAGCCGCTCTCTCCCCCACCGTCTCCTCCCAAGCTGAGCAGATACTCAGTGAGATGCTGTCCTTGGAAGCAGAGTCAAGGCTGATCTGCGACTGGTGAGACCCCCCTGGGGGGTGAAGGCGGGTGGAACAGCGCTGGTAAAGCCTGCGTCCACCTTCCTGCTGGGGGGGCAGGCAGAGGTCAAATTTACGGCCTTGTGTGGACCCAGTTAGGAATAAGCATTGCTGTCAGTGTCATGCTACCCCACCACCATCAAAATAAAGCCTTAAGTTTCCCTCACACAGATCATCTGCTGGTCATACTTCCTTAGGCTAGTGGGTTGGCAGTATATTTTACATTTACTTTTTTATTTATTTAGCAGAAATCACTCAGTCGACCACGGGATTTGAACCGACGGCCTTCTGATCACAGACATAGCATCCAAACCGGCTGTGCCACACACCGAGTCCCACCAAGCAGAACGTCTCCGCCTGTTCGTCTGGCTAAATCGCGTAATCAAGCACAAAGCCAATGTGCTACTCCTGCAAGTTTCACTCAGAAACACACCATTGCAGTCGGACTCTACTCCGACAATCACTACTTCGGCCCTGGGGCAGAACATCTCCCCTCCCTCCTGATTTACATACCATATCCCCCCCCCCCATGCCTATATTTATCCATCTCACTCATGGATGGCGGTGTGGGGGCGGGCGGGACATGGAGGCGTCCCCGGGTGCGAGTTAAGCGACTGAGTCGCTATTCATGAGCGAAGCCGAAATGAATTTCACGCGCGCCTGGCCGGGGGGGGGCAGCCCCGGCGGAGATAAGGGCCAAGAAAGCATCACAGTCAATGGAGGTAAACAGATAACAGCAGGGCTGTGGCTGCTGGGGGTGGGCAGCATCGGGGGCTGAGTGAGCGGAGAGCGACAACATAAACGCACTTGCCATAAACGTGTGAAATAACACGTTGCATGACACACGGAAGAAGTTACGAAATTGAAACGTGCTTTTAGGGCAATGACATCAATATGTGGCACAGACAGAGCGCTGGCCGCACAGCAAGGGAAATTGAAAGGAGGAGAGCAAAGGGTGACGGGGCGAATCCTGAGAGGCCTCGGAACACTCCTGCCCCGCCCCGGAAACGTGCTGGCGACCGGCTGACCGGAGTCCCTAATTCACAGTCAGAGCGCTCAGTTAAAGCAGATTCACCTACAGCATGCAGGCCACCCAACAGGACTAAGAACTCAATCATGCTGAATTACCCCCCCCCCTTAACAGACCCTTAAAAAGGTAACAGTGATGGACCTGTCAGGTTGGAGAACCGTCTGCCTGCAGAGATTGAGGAGCACCTGTACGCCACCTGCCACTGAACAGCTGAGTAAAGGAGGTACCGCTTGCTCGAGCTAGAAGCAGAACCGGGCCTGATGTGCCGTCATTGTCACACACGGCCTAGTCCTCCATGACCCTCTCTCCTTCCCCTGAAGCCTATCCCAACACAGCCTGCCTCTAGACCAGAGGTTGGCAACAGGTCGATAGTGGAACCCAACACCTAATGTTCCCCCAGGAAGTATTATACTGAGGAGAATGCCACCCTGCCTGGTAAAATCTACTAGTGATACAATAAAGCAACGTTTCGCAAGCTGGTCGTCAGGGATCCCCAGACAGACCATGTTGTTGCTCCCTCCCAGCTCCCTGCCACAGTACATTTTTGCTTCTTCCCAGCTCCTGGTGCGAGTAAAAATGTGGTCTGTCTGGAGGTCCCCAAGGACCGGGCTGGAGAACACGGCCATAGAGACTTGGTAGCTCCCCAGATTAATTTCTTTGTACAAGTAGCTCCACTGCTCTAGATGCTCAACTGAACAGAGCCAAGAACGGAGCACCACAAGATAAGGAGGCCTTACCATGTGCCCAGGGTGCTGGGGCCTAGCGCTGGAGTAGGGGTCTGTAGGGGGCCGGGATTGCTGCTCGGGAGGAACATTCTGGAAAGTGCAAGCCAGATCAAACCGTGAGGATATGATGTCTGCTTCCAGCAGGGGGCAGCAGGGAGAAAGGGAAGGACAGGGTCCCATGCGGTGGGGGTGGAGGGAGGCTATTGTGTTTATGCTGGGTGGGACCATAGGGTTCTGTGGAGGATGTGTGGGGTGCTGAAGCAGGTTCTTCCAGGAGAAAACGTTGCGTGCTCCAGGGCCCCTAATGTCGCCACATGGTGCCGGGTTCTCCAAGCTGGAAAACATCAAAAACCATCTGGCTCAAAGCTGCCTTGGCAAAACCAGAGGAACAAACAGAAAAACATACGGACACAAACAAGGGTTTCTCTCATTTTCTCAAACGTTATACAACGTTAGATCTTTTCAAATCGCTCATATTTCAGCCTTTTTCCCATCTCCAGGTGCCTTTTCTGCTGGAGAAAAGGTCCACAGGAAAGACTTTTACAGAAGGACATTACTCAAGACCCTCAAATTCCACGGAAGCTGCCTGGGTCTCCACATGGGCCCTGGATGAATGAGGTTCAGCTACCTCTCACACTTAATCACATGATCATCTGGCTTGTGGTCGATCCACCAGTCAGCATTCATCACAATCAGGTGTGGCTGTCCTTGCAGTAAACACACAGATATATCTATCCATCCATCCATTCATCCATCCAACCATCCATCCATCAACCACCACATACCCTGTACTGGCACACAGCTAGTCTGAACCCTTTCCCAGGAAACACAGAGCACATACTGGATGGTATGCAAGTCACATTCATAATTTGAAAATGTATTAAACATATTCCAATTCATACAGCTGAACCAGGTTCAGGAGGAGCCCTGAGGGCATCTGAGCTCAGCCCTGCAGAGACACCTATCCAAGAAGAGCTTTGCTCTTCATCTGTACTAAATGGAACACCTGCTATGAAAAGGTTAAGGTATAGTGTGAAATCACGTCATTTTAAAAAAACATAGGCACGTTAATAAAATAACCTTTACGCTACTTCAACAGGCATTTACTTCTCTGCGAGTCTCTTAGGCACGACATGAAAAAAAATTAAAGGATAAAAAAGGCGTGGCAGGATGGAGGAGCTCCAACTGCACCGGATTGGTAGCCCAGGTGTTCCCCACGGGCCAGTACCGGGCCCCAGCTGCTGTCTTCCAGCCCCCTGCTGGTTCGCCATGGGGCCCCTCTGCCTACAGGCCCAACACCCAGCAAGGGCACACGGGGTGAGAAGATTCTGGAAACGCTGGTACTGAAGGGCCTCCCCCCCAGCTTCCCCACCCCTATGCGACCACCTGTAAGGATCTCCAGATTGCAGCGCTGTCTGAAACATCCACCCCGCACCGTCGAAGGCTTCCCAGTGTTCATAAACCACTCCCATCCCGGGAGGACCCATTTTGCCTGTCTGCGTCATTCCTGTTGCTTAACAAATTCATTAATTTGCCTGTAAGCCACCACAGCAGTTCAACTACAGTCTGAGCATTGTTACTAAATTTAACGACAGCCATATTGTGCTAAATATTTAAAAGGCAGATGTCCTTGCCCCCGCACCCCCTTTTGAAATGTGGCAAATCTACTTCATAGATGACACTGAAGCACTTCAAAGTGGTGACAGGCCTGAGTTCAGCCAGCGAGGTTTCCATCTGCGATTCACACACAGCTTTCAAGAAATCAAAATCACTCAAATTAAACTGCAAGAAAGTGAACATTAACCATATGCAGATCTAAAAATAACCAGGATTTCAGTGATGCCGAGTTCAACCAGGATCTGCACCGTATAATTTTATATTATACTCTTTTTATTGTGGCTATCTGTGTTTCACAGGACCAGGTGATGGACAGGCACCCTCTCTCTTTTACCCTGAGCTGCCGGGGACAGGCAGCAAGCTCACCACGAGCCAGTAGCAGATAAGTAGCGAGAATATGTATCTTTTATATAATTTGACTGAAACACTTAAGTCTCAATTGAATTTCCTCCAGGAAAATGTGTTATAAGCTACCAAAAGAATAGCTGCTTGATCATGTTTTAAACCTGGGGTTCCTAACCCATAGCCAACTTTTACCTGAATGTGACATTTTTGCACAACGTACAGTACATGGTCATCAAATGGGTTTGGAGTCCTACACACTCATCCATTATCCGGAGTGTTAATACAGCACCAGTCAAAAGATGGACACACCTTCTTTTAATGCATTTGTTAACCACCATATAGCAAAAGGTCTTTAGGCAATGAAGTAATACATATCAAATACTACAATGACCAAGACAAGTGTTCAACATCTCAAATTTTTCTCAAGTCTTAGACTATTCAAAGTATCCCCCTTTTGCCTATATGACAGCATTGCAGACTCTTGCCATTCCTTCAACCAGCTTCCAGATGTAGCCACCTGGAATGCCTCTCCAACAGTCCAGAAGGAGTTTCCTTGGGTTCTGGGCAGAAGTTGGCTACCTTGCTCTTAATTTTTGATCCAACTCATCCCAAACCAGCTCTGCAGGATTTATGGCAGGAGATTGTGGGCCAGGTCATCTATCACAGCACTGCATCTCTTTCCATGTTAAGAAGATAATACTTACTACATATCCTCAAGGTGTGCTTAGAGCTGTTAAACAAATGATTTTCAGTACATGTGTCTAGTCATTTGACTGGTACTGTATTTGGGTCGAACCACTATAGATGAATAAGATGGGGGGGCTCGCATGAGTGGCTCCCCCTGCTGGAAGTGAAGGGGACATGTCATGGTCTGGACTTCCTTTGCTGGTAACAGGACTTTTCCAAATCCACTTTAATCCCAACCTACATAGCAAACTGCAAGGCTGATACTCCACCGGGATTATGGGTAATTGGGCAGTCCATCAGTAAGAGTCTGACCGAAAACAACTTAAAATCGTGAAAAGAACGTTCTAAGGGACGATACACAGCCAGGCTGGTGCTGCAGCGACGGCAGACTAAACGCACAGCTGCTGCTTTACAGACTGCTGGGGACATTTCAGGACAGACTTACCTCTCCAGAGCAGCCAGGCTACCCATAGTGCTCTGGGTCAGGGGACCAATGGGCTTGCTGTGTGATGGGACCGGGGGAGCATGCATGTCATGAAAAGGTGGAGAATGGAGCTGACTGCCCAGGTGCTCAGACCTCTGGGGATACCTTAGCGTGTCCCCTAAGGGCCTCCTCACACTGTCCCTCACGTTCGCTGAGAGAGGAAACAGAATTTACTCATCACACCCAACACAAGAAAAACAGGCATACAGTAAAAAAGGGTTCGAAACTCCTCCTGTGAAGGGGTCATTGCCAAAAGCATGCACTGAGTGCATTCTCACTGCTATCAAGCTGCCATAACATGTCACTGAATCACCAAAATGTTAAGGGCCTTTCACCTAGGATGAAACTATCAGCCACATCAGTAAAAGCTAAACTGTAAACGTAAGGAGCACTGCCAAGTGCTGATTGATGAGATCGTCGTCCTCGACCCAAGGCAGCATCTGCCAGCCAGCTTCCATACCATGGCCAACGTCCCACGCCGAGGGCGAAGAACAGAGCGAGTGGCACGGCCCGACAGACGGACTCCTCCCGGCAAGCCCGAAGCGGGAGTGGTTGGAGGATATGGGGGAGTTCTCCGGGCTAAACGGGGGCTGAGACCCACAGGATTTAGGGGTGGAGCTTCGGCAGACATGAGGAGGTGAGGGGGGGCAGCTCCAGTGGGGACTAAAGGTGCTGTCTGTGCGAGCCTGAAGGGAGAGAGACAGGAGAGATGTCGGGGGGCTGGGGGGGGGGCTGTACATCAGAGGGTCGGAGCAGGGAAGTGCGTGGCCCCGACGTGGCACCTCAGGTTCCCACCTGCTTGCAGTTCTCTGCTTCTCCCCACAGCTGCAGCGCCCCCAGAGCTGTGTGAGAGTCACTGCGTCCTGAAGATCAAAGGCAGACACATTACGCAATGCTACGTGTAAAACAGGCAATTCTGAGACACTAGTGGTTGATACCAGCCTCACTGCCTTCCCAAGAAATCACAACAGACAGAATAATAGGGTCTAACAGCATTACTGCACAATAGAGTCCATAAAACTACATAAAATCGGCACATAACCATGTACATAAACACAAGGTCAGATGCTCATTTTTAACAGGTTAACACAAAGGTCTAGAACAGCTGCTCATGAGTACACTTGTAAATGGTCTCTTACATCTGGATATTAAACAGCCTCAAGCAGGTAATTTACTGGAACCAATGCGCTACTGGAGACAGAAGTCAAACCTCAAACTACTGACTCCATGATGCCACCTGCGAACCAAAGTACCAAGATACACGTGCAGCGTCATATTAAGGACTCACCTGCCCTGGCACAATTAGGAACATCATCCACGGAGTTTCTGCACAGCATGGGGGAGGAGTGCAGGAACTGGGGGAGAGCAGCAGGGGGCGCTCTGGGGCTCCGCAAAAGGCCGAGGTTGTAGGCCATGACCGCCTGGCCAGCCACCTGAGGGGACACAGCCGTCACACACCGCCTGTCACATGACGGGATGCCACGAGGGTGACATCACACTCACCGACAAAGGGAAAGGTGACAGCAGGCCGCTGCTGTAGGGGATGCTCATTCTCAGGGAGTCTAGGTGCCCTGCCGCACCCAGACTCCTGCTGTAGGTACAGTGGCGGCCAGAGGTCAGTGACAGGAGGTAGGGGGGACCAGCAGGGGGCGCCATGGAGCCTACGATGGAGAAGAGCTGAGCCTGACAACAAATACCAGCGAAACGGCCCGAAGTTCAAATGAAGTGGGGGGCTCGTGTAATCGTGCCCTGGGGAAGGTATCAGTCCGAGGTCCGTTGGAGGGTTGGGTGGGGTCCATGGTCGGCCAGGCAGTCCACGGTGGGGGGAGTATGCCAGGTGAACCCATCAGGTCCAGTGAAAGACACAAATTAAAAGAGGAGCAGCAAGGTGCCCAGGTGAGCCCATACCCTAATTATTTAAAACATCTTAAAGCCAAAATGACATGTTTTCCCAGATTCCACCTTCGGGTAGCAACAAGAGGCGCCTGTGAACAGCCAGGAGTTTTTTCCCCCCTTACTCAGTTTCAGTCAGCGGCGTGCCCTGGTGAATGACCCAATCAGTGCCACCCCCCCTGGGGGGTCCGGTGGCCCCCATCAGCACCATTCAGATCAATGGGCCCCCGTGACGAGCCCCAGAAGCAGCGAGCCGGGCTTACCGTAATGACCCCTGGGAGAGGGGGAGGGTGGCTTCGGGTGCCAGGGGGGGGTGCGCTTCACCTTGGGGGAAAGGAGAAGAGCGGGTGTCACAGCGATACCGGCCCTCAGAACCCAGGTAAAGAGACACATCCGCAAAAGGAACCCATCCAGAACGGGCACAGAGGGAACCAGAGCGTTTTATCTGAGAGGTTTGCCGGACTGGAAGGGGAAAAGTGTCTGTAGGACGCGCTGAGGGCGGCTGGGTCACACACTGAACAGGGATATGGGGATGTAAGGACCGAACATGGACGGATCCATCCAAGCAGCTGCTACAACCAAAACAAGCAACCAAAACAAACATGTGATCACTCCCCAGTCCCCCCCCCCCAAGTCATGTTTCACAAACCAGTACACATGAAGACCAGAGAGAACCCACACAGGCACCATGCGACGCAATTCCCATGGGGGGCAGGGCCTGTTTGTGAGTGCTGAAGCGGATCCGCATCCGAGTTCACAAACTGGGGGATGAAGGTTATGGTCCCTGGGGATGGCAGCTCGACATGGCCGAGCAAACAAACACACGGGGGGGGGGGGGCTCCAGGCGGGCGGCCTCACGGGGCTGCGACATCACCAGTCAGCCACACTTCACAGAGCGTGAACACGCGGCGGGAGGAGAACCGGAGAGCCGCTTAAATAAAGTCTGCCTGATTGGGCTGCTTTCAGAGGACAGGGTGGGGCTAAGCTGGGAGGGGGTTTACACGCATCTGTGTGGGGGCTACTCCTAAGAGCCAATGGGATCACTAATTTAAATCTCTCCATAACAGCACGGTGACATCAGCACTTAGCTTTTTATGTAAATCCTAAAAAATAAAAAAAAACACCACATGAAATATATTTCCTACAAGATGAAAAATAAACCCCTCAAACATCACTAGCACATCTCTGCAGAGCAGAAAACTCAGCCTAAAAAGTCGACACTCCCCCAGTCTGATCTCATTCCCAGCCACCACAACCAATTAAAACATAACAGAGCACTCCGGGTTCAAGCCATCATGTGACCTATGTTGCCTTCTTGGCATCATGGCAGTAGCAAGCGTGGTTGAGGAAGGTGCAAAATGCAGGGTGGCTCGGTGCAGGTCCGACAAGAAGGTATGTAAGGAACAACCTCTGGGACCACGGGATTGAGGATGTACCAAGATACAGGGCGAATGGACAGGGGTCCTTCGAGGGGGTGTGTGAGGAACAAACTCTGGGGCCAGGGGGTTGAGGACGTACCATGGTGCTGGGAGACTGGACGGGGGTCCTTCGAGGGGGCATGCGAGGAACAAACTCTGGGGCCAGGGGGTTAAGGACGCATGCACGGCTCGCTTCAATGGCATCGATCTGCTCAAGCACTTCAGACAGCAAGGCCCCGTGCAGGCCTCCCTCCAAGGCACACCGGCGCAAGAAGTGCTCCCAGATCCTCCTGCGGGACAGCGGTGATGAGTAGGAAGCGGCAGGGATGCCCTCGTCAGCACTCGCTCAGTGGGGGAGACACCATGGGGACATACCTGCACTTTCCGACGGTGCAGAGGGCCACAGGGTCTCCCACGACAGCCAGCAGGGACTGAGCGCGCAGCATGGCAGAGTGCAGGGCCCGCGGGGACGAGAGAAAGCCCAGCTCCCGATCCTCCGTCGTCTCCTCAGCCTCCAGAAGGGAGCCCCTGTGCCAGGCTCCACCGGGCACCCCCCTACCAGGGGCCCCCTGCCTGCAGGAAGCCCGCGTCCTCACTGTGCTGAGGAACAGCACGCGGAACGGCGGAGCTACAGCAGGAAGACACGGGGGGACGAGGGACAGGTGGAAAGGTGGGGTAAAATTGTGGGAGTCAGAGAGGGAGGCAAAGCCAGCCAGGGGGGTGGGGGTGGCAGGTATTATGTGAAAGACCGAGGAGTGTAGTGACAATATGAGGCCAATAGGGGGCCCTCCAAACCAAGGGGTCCCCAAGGAAATGCATGGTGTGTGTCCACAATAGGAGGACAGATTCCAAACTGCAGCAAAACCTTGAATGCATATGGGCCCCAGTCTCCACCCTCAGCATCACACACTGCTAACGCAGACAGAAGTGTCGGGCAGCCATGGGGCCGAGACAGCCGGGACGTGAGAAAGAGCGGATGCTGACCGGCTGGGGCGAGGAGCGTGTGCACGGTGACGCAGTTTAAGCCACGCCGACGCGCCTCGGAGCGCAGCTGCACGGCCTGAGCTGGGTACGGGGTCAGCACCCCCACGCTGCTCTCATCCAGCTTTCCCCAGGACACCGGCCACGTCTTACATAGGCTCTCCAGCTGGTCAGCCACTTCCATCACCTGCAGCCACGGGGGGGAGACCGACAGCTCTTTCACACCAGGGCTGGTGCCCATGCTGAGCCAAAATTCCAGCCCAGGCGTTGCATTCACACCAAAAATTACAGCGGTGCCGGGCCGGAGCTCATGTTTCCGGCCCCAAAAGACTGCTGGGCCAGAGGTAGGAGTGTGACATCAGGAAGCAGGGTTAAAGTTGTCAGAGTGGAAAGCAAACATTTACGAAGCAATGTGGAGTGAATTGGAGAAGGCAGGAGTTAACAGAATAATGGAACGAGTCCTGAATACGATTTTTTTTTTTAATGAAAAAGAATACAGGAAGTCGAAAAGAGATCTAAATAAAAATGGTGCTAGCTGCCCTAAAAACAAATATCATCCGTGTTTGGAAAGAAACCTGCTAGGTGACTGAAGCACTGATCTCCGCCACCGCTTTGGAGGAATCGTTGGTATTGTTCTGTTTATTTGTAAAATGACTATGAACTTAGCTGACTAATAAGTTTCCCTTAGAATTTGACATCTGTGTACAGCAATGAAAATAAGACTCACCTGCTGTCTTGCTTGAAATGTCAGTAATTTAAGTAAAATTGACCTATCCTGTCTTTCGTGTGCTTGCTTTAACACAGGGGAAGAGAATGCAGATGGACAGGAGCATCACTTTTTATATTCATTTATTCCGCATGAAAGATTTATATTGTGGGAGCCATTCGTTATTTGTTGTGGTGGTGGAGGTTGACACTAGGTGGCAGTGTGGGCTGAGTAAGCTATAGGTCACGGTGCAAGAGGGGAGAGAAAAGCCTTAAAAGGACGGGGTCAAGGGGCGTAAGGAGAGATGGCAAGGAGATCAAACGATTTTACCGTTCATATGCCATACACGATAGTAATCCTTACGTTGTGATTATTGTAACCTTTCATAATATCACTATTAAATGGGAACTTGACCCAAAGGTTAAACAGATGTGGATCTTAACTTACTTGGTATAGTTATTGGCATGGCGAGTAATCAGGATCTAGCCCACCTTCACAGTGGAGTGGACGATGTTGGATAGTCACTACATATATATTTCTTGATTATTTGTATATTTGTAAAATAAAAGTTTACTAAAATGTTTCATTCTGTTCTTGTATTCAGTCTCCCTATTAAAATAGTCCATTAATGCATATTGCACAGTACTTCCTTCAGCGTTCTGTACTTTTATATGTGCATTTGCGCTGATTTGACAAGAATTTACCATGCATTTTAACCTTTATATGCCAATTCGTACTTCATTTGTGGTATAAAGGTTAAAAAACATGGTGATTTCTTGTCATAGCAACGCAAACGTGTACTTATTTTATGTCCATTTGCGCTGTTACAACAATTTATTGCCACACGTATCGCTTTTAAAGGTGAATGCACACTTGCATGACAGTTATGTGCATCCCCGTGTATTAGCATGAATGACTCGCAGTTCATCCACGAATGCACCTCCGATTGCAACCCGCTTTTTAACTGGAACACGCAAACGGCAGTTCGTGTTGGACCGCTGAAGTGCAGGAATAAGTCATTGGCAGATGTATTAATAACGATTCGTGGGACACTCAGAAAATTTTGAGTGAACTGTGTTGGGTTAAACCCAGGAACAATAACAAATAAAGCTAAAAGTAATGTAAGCATTTGCAGTAAATTAAAAAAAGTCTTGCATTCATCACATCTCGCACAGTCCTTCATTTTTGCCTTCACTTTTGAAACAGGACCCCTCCCATAGCAACACACACACACGGATGTCACAGTTCTACCCTTTCAGAACCAAGTGCAGTGTGAATGCCAGACGGTTTTCGGTGGGGCCGACGAAAGCTCCAGCCCAGCTCTGGCCGAGCACCAGGACCAGCACCAGCTCCGGCCAGGGCTTGGTGTGAAAGAGGTAAAGGAGAGAGACTCAAACGTGGGGGACCGGGTCAGGCCACAGGCCCCAGTCAGCATCATTACATTCATGAGGTTTAAAATCACTGTATTTAAGATGTGACTCAAAGATCACCAATAATGACAGTAATGTTTTAGATTAGAAACATTTCACAGCATAAGTACACACTTCGCAAGATGTGCAGGATGTGTTATGGGTGTGGCACATGATGGGTGGGCGTGGCCTAAACGTGATGGGTGTGGCACGTGGTGGGTGGGCGTGGCCTAAACATGATGGATGGGCGTGGCCTAAACATGATGGGTGTGGAGTATCCCTGCTCACCTCAGCCTGATTGTAGTATCCGCAGGAGCTGTTCTCCGCCCCCCAGGCCACAAAGAAAGACAGGGGGAAGAAGTCTTTGTGTGCAGGCTGGCTGCTGGCTGCCTTCAGCTGGCCCCCATAGAACACCTCAGAGACCAGGCTAGAGAGAGAGGGAAGGTTGCAGTGTCAATCACAAAAATATTCGCAAAGTAAAAATGACAACTTTGCAAATTCATTTCTTGGAAGAGTAAACCCAGCATCACAGACAATCCCGGGTCAGACACGATACAAGCAGACTGCATTCGTCATCAACAGAAGTATTCCGGAAGCATCTATAGCTCGTTCTTCGAACCCAGGAGGATGCCACCCACCCGACAATGTGCCGCTGAGTGCGGTACTGCTCCGTCAGCCATACCATGCAGCCGCAGTCAGGGGGATACAGCTTACACAGGCGCTCCAGCAGGGGGCGCTGCAGATCACGCTCACAGGCAAACTCGCTGTGCATCAAGGGGGGGGGCTGAAAGCCGCAGAAAGGGGGCAGGCAGTCAGAGCCCTCCTTTGCGCGTTTACTACGTGAAGCACCAAAAAAGGCGAAGCAGTGGCTGTGTAAACAGCTTGGAAGGGAGACAATAGAGGCCCAGGAATGTAAACAGACACATCGTCCATATGCATGTGTCACAAACGGGCAGCCCCACCTGATGGGGATCTCCTGCCAGCACCACCCGAGTGGAGCGGCTCGCCAGAGACAGCGCCATCAGGACCTCGCACTCGACTATGGAAGAGGCATCGTCCACCAGGATATGCGTGAAGAAGCCTGACAGAAGGCAGCAGAATCAGCGGCCGCGGCGACGCCTCCGTAAAGGCGCATATTTACGGCGGCGAAGCCGAGCGCACGAGGAACCAAGCGAATATAAATCGCCATAAAGCATAAAGAATGAATCTGCGTTTGCCACCTAGTGGCCATATGTGGTAAAACATACTAAATGCAGTCGACTACGAACCCAAAGGTTTAGTTAATAAACAGGCTGGAGGCTGCAGCTACCAGAGTCAAGCCCCAAGTGGACAAGCTGCTTGGCCTGACGGACTGTGCTGACCACCAGCCGGGACTTCTTCACCTCCTCCATTCCTGGGGCTGAGGCCTCAGCTCCGGCATGCTGGGGGGGCATCTCCGTCTGCCTTGAACCCTGACGCCGGTCCCACAGCCTGTGGGTGTGTGTGAGATAAGGCACATGCATGTTATAGGGTTCTCCACCACAGAAGGGAGACGCGTGGTCGTCTGAGATCACGCTGGCCCCCATCGTTACCTGAGCAGGCAGCCCTGAGCGAGAGCGAGCTCAGTAACCAGGGAATCCGCCGCCACCTCCGTCCGTGTGCACAGCAGCACCCTGGATGCCCAGGAGGGAGCGGAATGCGGGTTACGGCTTACGAAGCCGGCATAAGAAACAGCAAAGGACCAGTAGTGCTTTGAGGGGTCATGACCCCATATCTTAAGGTCGTGTAGGATGTAGCAATCAGGAACACGTGGGTGAGGATGCCCGGGGCACCCCCAGAGGGCATCCCACCGTGCCCCATGTCACCAGCTCCGGATACACACCGACTGGCATCCGCTTTCAGCAGGAGCACGACGGCCTCGAGCAGGACAAAGGTCTTTCCGGAAGCCGGGGGGCCGCACAGTAAGATGGGGGGCAGCGGCAGGGAGGGGGCCGACATGACGGCCCAGAGGGCGTCCCTCTGCCGCTCGCTGAGCCGGGAGTCCCAACCGTCAACACTGAAACGCGGCCAAAGATGGCGGTCAGGCCAGGAGGGGCGCGCCGGGACGCCGACCGAGTAATCGGCCCACAGGAGGTACCTCTCAGGGCGGAGGGGCAACTCAGGAAAGGGGGGCTCCGGGAAGAGCAGGGCGCAGTCGCGGATCACGTCCAGGGCGAAGTGCATCTCACACAGTGGCAACCTGTTCAGCTGGAACTGCAGCTCCACCTTGTGGCAGGGATGCAGACATGCGAGCGGGTTAAGCAAAAGCGGGTGATCTTAATCTAGCAAATGAGTCAATGAACTGTTAAAAGGTATAGAGGCTATTTAGAAACCCAGAAATACATATGCAATGCAAAATGAGCCACTATAAATAGTTTTCACTGCTTTTAGTCTGACAGAGAAGTCCTTAATTTGATTTGTAATTTATTAATCAATCTGTTCAGGTACAGGTTCAGACCATTGAAAAATCACAGACATGTGCTAACAGACAAACGAGCCTCTGGAGTGCTCATAGGCTGAGGCTGAGCTTTGAACGCAGCAGATGTTGTGCCCCACTGGGGAAATTAAGCATTGAAAGGAAACAGACAGACAGTGACTGTTATGTCCTTTTACACATCTCCTATATTGTGGCAGTTTGATTAATACATGGCACAGGACTCAGTGGGTGGCACAACCACACTGCCATAGTTAGGGGTTCAAATCCCATGTCCATGTGTGGAGTTTGCATGTTCTCCCTGAGTCACACGTGTTCTCTAAAGCGGCCATATTGTGCACAAGCGTGCTTGTGTGTGTGTGTGTGTGTGTGTGTGTGTGTGTGTGTGTGCCTGTGCCAGACTGGCATCCTGTTCCCTGCCCCCTGTGAGTCCCGCGCTGCCATGAAGAGGCTCCCCCAGCTCTGCGCTGGGCAGTTGGCAGGAAGATGGACAGCAGGATCGGAGTGTCCGTATCGGAAGAGTGACTGTGACAGACCTGCAGGTCTGCGCCTGCTTGCAGCCTCAGGTCATGGCAGCACTCCTCAGACAGCCGCAGGCACATGTCCTCCGGGCCGCACGCCTCCACCCGCACCTCGTACACACGCTCCCGGCCCGCAGTACCAGACTCGGCCAGCAGGAGCATGCTGCTCACTGCCTCGCGCACCAGCCGCCCCGCAGAACTGTCCGGCTCGGTCCCGGTCTCATGCAGGCTCAGCAAAGCAAAGACTTGGCCAGCCAGAAGGGGCCCGTATTCCCCCCGCAGTCCGGGTGCAGAAGGCTCAGTCATCAAGCGCAGGCATGTTTGGAGGTTAAACCTGCATGGGGCGATATGAGCGGCAAATGAAATCCATCAGATTCCCTGCATCACATGATATAGTGGTCGCAGTCAAAAATACGGCAAACATTTAAGACCTTCACTTCTCTTAGTAACTGATTAATGAACATAATTTAATATAAACAATCTACAATGAAATTTCAACACTGTAAAAACAACCAGTACACAAAATTCACGGCGTGGCACAAACCTCTATTTTAAGTTTATGGTTTAGTGCAATTTATGCACAGCAGGGAAAAAGAAATTTGTTTTTAACCGTTTATTATTAAAACTGCAAAAACAATTAGCAACAGTTGTAAACCATAGAAAAGGCAATGTTTTTGTATAACAAACCCTAAGAGAGATGCTTATTCGCAGTGTAAAAATAAATGTCTAAATCCCATGTTCTCTGCTACAGAGGATGGTCGTGCAGGCCTGCCCATAGTGACGAATTCCCTTAGTCTCATTATAGCTACTATTTCCCCTGAAATTCCTGGCAATATTGTGTTAAATGTATGTTAACTGTCAGGAAAAAAAGGGTACAATTGTCACTGGGGCTGTACCCTCAAAAGTCTGCCAACTGCACCCTAGCTGTAGATCAATGTACCCTTTAGCCTAATTTAAGGTACAGAAATGGATTCTGAGGAACATTTTTGTACCATTGGGGGTATATTAATGTTGTTTGCTCCTTGGGGAGCAAGACTGTACCAGGAGTCTACAGCTTTATTAGAGTCTTCGATTAAAGTTTTGAGTGTCTCACAACAGGACCTACTACACTCAATTAAGCACGGCACAAAGACAGACTAATGAGAATACCTGACCTGTACCTCAACCTTCAGGAAATGCCTCAGGATCCATCATTTCTGGAAAAACCTTGACTAGCTCACCTGACCACTGACCCGCTCCATCCTGGCCAGCTATCCCTTGGGTATGGCCTCTTGGCAGTGCTGGACACTCTTGTATTTTGCAGTTGTCTAGCAGAACCCCAGTCCTCTTGGTCTGCCTACAGTAACTTCTTCTGATGTGAGGTTCCTACATCATACATGTTACGTAATCTTTTATAGTTCTTGCTCTAACACTACTTACGCTTGTAATTGGTCACTAATTTGAAGCTCAGCCTGGCTACACTTGACCCTAAATTGGTTCCTTGACTGCTGGATACTTCTGCCTCACTTGTATGTCGCTTCGGACAAAAGTGTCTGCTAAATGAATGTAATTGTAAATTATTGACCAGTATCTGGACCCTGATGGCTAGAATGTACATCAGCAAACACTAGGCACTAAGTCTAGGGGTGTTTTTCAATATGCGTATTTCACCGAACTTGTGTTACTGTGTACACGTTTTACATCATCTTCCATTACCACAGAACAGTTACAAAACTAACAACAGAAGTCCAGAGGATGGTAAAAATCCTCAAATATTGTTCTTGCTCTGCCCCAAATATCAAGGATACATCGGACCAATCCCATGATTCATTGCACCCCAAGTTCATTCTTGGGAGGCAAGTCCGTAAGACCAGCCTTGCCAAGACCTCAAGTATTATCTTTGCGTTCTTGGTATTGAGAAGCATCCCATAGTCCTGGGCCTGACCCCATGACCCTGTGACCCCGTGACCCCAGCGACGGCAGCAGCCCACCCGCAGAGCAGGCGGTACTGGGCGTTCTCCTCGATGTACAGCAGGTCGTGCAGCCGTGAGCGGTAGTTGTGCGGCGTGACTTTGTGGTCCAGCACGGAGCGTGTGAACAGCTGGTCGGCGGCCGCGGGGATCCGGTATGACTGCAGGAGGGACCGATCCAGGGGGGACAGGTCACAGGGCCGGAAGGCCACCACGGTCACCTGCTTGCAGCCCACGTCCCAGCGCATCAAGGACCCCCTTGTTGGGGGGCACGGTGGCTCCAGCCCCACGTCTGCAAGACAGGAACGTATCACAAAACATCCAGATTATTAGGAATCAATCAGAAATTATATCTGAATTAAAATCAGAATCCATGTGCTTTTGACTGCATTTTTAAAGTAAGGTTTGATTGCAGGTCGGCGGACAGCCCCAGCTGGGGAGCAGCGCTACACTACCTGCAGGGGTGGCCTGCTCCACCCTGACAGTCTGGAGGAGCACCGGCTCGGAGCCCAGGTCCAGCACCACGGCCTGCTGGAAGTTGCCGTAGGCGTGGGTGCTGAATCGCAGCTTGAGCTGGTAGACCCGCTCGGCCCCGTGGCCCGGCCCAGTCCACTCCCACGGTTCCGGGCCCAGAGGGTAGGGGCGGGGGCCGGTGGCAGTGAGGGTGGCTACCTCCGAGATGGAGAAGAGGGGCCGGTGGAGCTCGCCGAGCAGGGCCACACGGCGCAGTACTCGGGGGGGCTGTGGGGGAAGCAATATAAAGGTTAGCATTTAAACACCGGCCCCGTGACCACGCCACCCCCCCCCCTCCCCCGGCTTACATCGCAATGCAGCTGAAGCATCCAGCAGAGGGAGCTGTTCTTCTTCTGGACGACCTGCCGCAGGTCTGGTACGCAGGTGACAGTCACCCCCAGCAGTGAGGGCGCCACCTAGAGGAAAAACAATGACATACTGAGGGAAGAGTAGCTGCCGGGGGGGGGTATTACAGCCATGTAATACCAGCCATGTAAGCAGTAAGGGGCACAATGACCAAGAACTCATTCTTAAAATCTTTGTTAATCATGAATAAAATTAAGAGATGCTGCAGCGGCACAGCGGTTCCGGTCGCGCGGTTCCGGTCGCGCGGTTCCGGTCGCGCGGTTCCGGTCGCGCGGTTCCGGTCGCGCGGTTCCGGTCGCGCGGTGAGCGGCTCTAACCACAGCATGGGGCAACGGGTTGCCTGTCCACTTCTCCAGCAGCTGCTGGCCGTAGCAGGCGACGGCACCAGTGCGTGGCTCCCGTAAGTGTCGGCGCACCAGTCTCTCCCTCCACTCCCGCAGCTCGCCGTGAGAGTGCGCAGACACGCAGAAATCCCCCAGGGGGCAGCCTCCGTCCCGCAGGAACCTGCACACACAGACAGAGACCCCACGAACCACAGCTGGATGTCCGTTTCACATGTACACTGGACTTTTATTATATCCCATTACCTTTTAGTCGATTTCACCCTGGAGTCTTTCTCAAAGGCCCAACAGTGCAATCATTCTGCCAACTCCAGGATTTGAACTGGCAACCTTATGATCACAATCACCCGAACCCGCTGGCCACACACCACCCCCATCAACACCAGACCCCAACCATCTTTGTGTCTAGGGACCTGTATGAATCTCAGGCCATAACCTTGCCTTCTTAAGTCCTGCACCTGAAACACAGAGTATACTCATCGAGGCTCAGGATCCCGCGGGGAGGGTCCCGAATCCGCCACCGTCGCTCAACCCGAGTGCCTTTGAGGAGAGACAGCATTTCAGTGGGTTCCTCCACTGTCCCGGCTGACAGCACAGGTGTTCTGTTTTATTACTCTGAAAGTTGGCACTAAGATTAAAAAGAATATTCAAAAGCACCCGGTCTGCAAGCACAAAGTCACATTCCCTCACTGGCTGAAACAGTCAGGCCCGAAATGGCAGGACGCAGCAGAAGCAAAGAGGAAGACATGGAACAAACCTTCCCCTCCAGTCTCGACTGAACCTCCAGCAGCTGTACAGGAAGCCTGCAAGTTTGGAAGAGGAAAAGCAGCAGTTATGCAGTCAGCTCGCCGTAGAGCCCAAAAACCGTACAAGGTACAAAACCAAACCCCTAATCCAAACACAGTTGACTAAACAACTGCCTAATGAGTAAAGCCATTTCTCTGAAGCCATTTCTCAATGAACTTTCAAGCTAAATAAAGGCTTATCTTCCCTCCATTTGCTCAGGTAACCTTAAATGTATAAACATTGTATAAAGTCTCAGTTTGAATGCCAATACAAGAGAACCATTTTATCAGTTCCACTGTGAATATATAATTTCGTTGTTTGAGACCTGTTCTGGGCATGCTTATCAAGAACATTTAATCCATAAAAATTGTTGAACTGTATGAAAAACACTAATACATTTACTACAAATAGAACGCTCTGGAGATTGAATGACTACCTGTGATTCTGTCAATAGAAGCAGCAACTGTCCAAAATATTTCATATCTTCATTCTGAGTGTGACCAAAAAAAATCAGCTGAAATTTTATGTAGGTTTTGTACACGTTTCTAAACATGAGGCTTTTTTATTGTGTTGAACAGGGTTTAGTTAAATTGCCTCTTTTACTCTGGTTGTGTATGACCACTTCCAGTCGGCTGCAGCATCAGCGACAGCATCTTACCATGTGCTCTGCAGGCTGACAGCTGAACAGCGCCTGGCACATCCCCCTGAAGCAGCCGTCTGTCAGCATGGAGACCAGGAGCTCTTTGAGGGTGTCGGGTCTCAGCTCCCGCTGAAGACACATCACTGCACAGGAGAGTAAGCCCGTTATCATGCTGGATAATATGCGACTTACACTCTCACAGAGATTATTTAAAAGTAACCAAACTTCAAACCCGGGACCTTTAACACCACACACACAGATATTATATTATGTATGTATATACATACTGTATATATTATAAATACTGTAGGTGCCAGCTTTTTAAATGGAAACAGATACTTTTGCAAGTTTGTTGTTCCTCACAAAGTATAATCTCTGGTATTAATAGTAACAATGCAACCTTTAAATGCAGTAATTCAGTTGTAACAAATAATTAAGTTTTAACATTAAACCACATCTTACCGCTGCTGCTATTCTCTTCAGCTTCAGTGAATTTTTTCTGCAAATAAAAAAAGTCTCACATTTTAAACGTTAGAATAACCCGCTTTAATTTCATTTAACTTAAGTACAATATGAACCCAATGACCGATATAGAAATAAAAAGAAAAAAGAATCTACCAGCTGGACAAGTGCATAGACACGGTAAAGCAAGACTTGCAGTCGGACACTGTGATCAGTGGCGGAGGAAGAGCAGCAGGGGGCGTTGGATGGACTGGGCAAGCCGGCTAGGATCTCATCACAGCACTGCAGACCCAGCTGGTACTCCTGCCTGCTGAGGTGCTGGCATGCCTTGGCACATAAGACATCGGGCTTCCTCTCACCCATTCCTCGCCACTGTAATATTTCCTGGAGACGCGCGCAAAAGTGAAAAACACATCTTCAAGTAGGGTGACCATATTTTGCTTTGCAAAAAAGATGACACCGGAGCCGCTGTAAGCAAATATCATCAAGAAACAAAGCGAAATCCCGGTCATTTCAGGCAATTTTAAGTCCCAAGAAGAAGATCGTATGGTAATCCTACATAAAGCCTGTGCTCCCCTATATAAACCTGCATCAACGATCCTGCATCCCAGGTACACCGTAATATATATAATACAGGTAACATGTCGAACATGTTTTAAAGTAAACATAAACATGATACATTGGAGATGGCTCGTCGTATTTTTTTTTATTTTTTTTTTAAATAACAATTATTAGTAGAATCAATGTGAAACTTATATTGAAACTGAATATGAACACAGTGTGTTAATCAGGCTATTTAACTATTTTAGACTGAACATGCAGATCCCTGCATGATTCTCAGGTGCACGAGCATTCCTTGGTATGGGATATGTGCATGAAGGGCAATGGGGAAAAAATAGCACCATTTCTAAACAGAAGTGGTCTAACAGCGTTCGTGTTATTATTATGCAAACTATATAAGCAAGATGTATTGTGACTGATAAATGCACCTGCATGAATACACTCTTTACCTATTCGACAGGATATCGGTTTGGCGTACAAAACGCTTCCAAATAATGAGACACACCACCCACCTCCGCTTTCAGTGTCGCCCGCTTGTTTTTTCGCCTCGCACCAGATCATTAAAGTCTCGCCGTTTTTGGTGTGACGTCACCGTGAACGACGCAACTGTTTGGGTTAGAGGCAAGTGAACCGGAAGCTAGTGTGCTATGCTTATTTTTTATTTAATTACATGGATAGTGTCAATATTCATACATAATGTAGCGTAATTTCGTGAAAATGTGTATTAGCTAGATTAATATTGACGTATTTAAACTTCAGCTCAAATATATTTGATTGCCCAGTACTGTTGCCTCACATCTCCACAGTTGAAGGTTTAAATCCTGCTTCCATTTTAAGGCGGTGGGTTATGCATGTTCTCTTCAGGTCACATGGTTTTCTCCTATAGTCCAAAGACTTGCACATAGGCTACTTGCTGGCTCTCAATGGACAAGACGGACAAACACGTTATGTGCCTGGTCATTGGAGACTGGAATGCTAGAGTGAGAAATTGGCAAATGTCAGCCAGCATAAACCCAGAAACAGAAACTGTCTTACATTTTATATATCCAGTGACTTCTTTACTGCTAATATACTCTACAAGCATCCAAAATGCTGTCTTTACACCAAGACATCATATGAAGTTAGCAGAAATCACTTTAGAGCTCATATTGCCTGGTCAGTGTGGTCGCATGTTCAGAAAGCACATGCCCGGTTATTTTGGCCTTTTTCTTTCTCCTCACCTTTTCCCCAGTATGAGCTTTAAACTGTTTGAGGGAAGATTTTCCTGCCCTCTGGCTGCTGCAGTTACTGGCTGCCAGTCATGAGCCCATTGCACGTCTTGCAGCTGACAGTGAGGAGGCCACTGTCTCTGCCGGCCTGCTTGCTGCTGTTCACCCCCTCAGAGCAAATCGTGGGACAGATCGTGAACCACTTCTGTGCGAGTTCTGTGAAAAGGAATAACAAGGCCATGCAACATCCAAGCTGAGGCCTGGGTCTTCCAGAGCATCCCACTGGCCTAATGAAGGCTCTGTGCACTGGAGGGAGGGACTCTCTGATCAGACTGTCAACATGAGTCAATCAAGGCATTAAATCATCCTATCACTTGTCAGCAACAACTCTACTATTCAGACATTGAAGCCCGTATCCCTTTACTGTCGGTTTTCTATTTTGTTATGGAAAATTAGACCCCACCTTGACCAAAATTCTGTTTTACGTTGCTACTTTCACAACCTGCAGTGAAAGGTGGTGTCCAGACATATGTGTAATTCTCCAGTGTGCGCATTGATGCTGCGCTGTTTTTATTTTTGAAAGTCAAAGTGACGAGAAAGACGGGCTAGGCTACTCCGAGAGGCTAAATGAGCCATATCTATGGCTAACCTTGCAGTATTGGGCGAGTCAGTCAAACCTGAATGTCTAATTTTAAGATGTATTTCCATTGCAGTTGTGCTGTGGTGATGTTTAAGTTCTGCTTTACAATACCAACAGTCGACTGCATTTTCATTTACTTTTAATGTGCTTGCACACAAATTTTGCTTCTCTATTTGGGCCATCATCCGCTATGAGCTGACTTTCTGCCATATTGACGAATAATCGAGAAGGGACATTTTAAGTTTTAAAACAGCTGTAGTATTATTTTTTTTCAAATTACCTCAATATGTATATACAGTAAGTGAATTGTCTTTGTTGTATAATGCACACGCAGAGCAATGGCTGGTCAGCTGTTTTCAGAGGACTGAGCAGAATAGGCCCCCGCTCCCCCGAAAGGGGCCTTGTTTCCTGACGACAGGATAGCCACCCGCTGCCCCCGAAGCGGGCCTTGTTTCCTGACGACAGGAGAAGCCCCCGCTCTCCTAAAACGGGTCGTGTTTCCTGACGACAGCAGTCAGCTGGCAGCCGAGCTACTGAGCCCCGTTTGTAAACAACCCATGAATGACGACGCCCCCCCCCCCCCCCCCATGGAGCGCAGACAGATACCGCCGCCCATTAGTCGGCTCCCCCGTTGCCAAGAAAGGTGACATTTTACGGCGTATTTTCTCTTTTGTTTTTGTACTACAGAAAGCTTTAAATCCAAGAAACATTTAAAGTGTAATATATTTATCTTGCAGATTAAAAAAATCATAACGTATTATTTTATGTATATCTGTTGTGTTCTTAAGTCCCCTAAAAATCACAGTATACTTGAATGGCATAAAATTTCTTTTGATGGTCCTTTATGGCTTATTGGGGGTCCTGAACTCCCCGAGACCCCCTCCTATTTAACTATGGTTGTCTATTCTAGACGTGCCACTTTGTAGGGCAATGTAATACAATACCACCAGCAGACCCAGTCATTTCTGACAAGGACATTTCTGAAGGTCATTGCTGCCTACATTCTCCCTTCTATTGCCCGTTCGAGTGGCACTTATCTTGGAGGCAGCCTTACCTCAGCTTCATGTCCCAGGTCCCCATCCCACTCCAAATCACACGTTTACTTGAGTAGAGCAGGCTGGGGTCATAATCTGAGACACTACATCTGTCTCCAAGGCAACCACTGCTCTCATTCAGCAGCTTACCAAGAGAAAGCTGGCAGGAGGGAGCAGGCATAGCCAGTGTGAGATCACCGCCACGCTTCGGAAAGGAGGCCCGCTGACCCATAACAATAAGAAGGGAAAAGAAAATATGCCAACTAGCACACAGAGGTGCCCTTTTGTGGCAGTGGAGCAATTACGAATGCTACATAAAATGTGTACTACAGTTTGTCTTGATTACTTTGGTGCATTTCAGGAAACATACTTTACATAAGAGCAATTCTCAAAACAGTTTATGCATATAACACAACTAGGCCTGCCACTAAAGACTATTTTTAATCTATCAAGTATTTAATCTATTGGTCGATTAATCTAAACGATTAATTTTCCTCCAGAAAATTGACTTTACCCTTTAAGTTAACTTTATTTTGACAACAACAAATTGTATGTTATTGCAGGGCTTTAGATAATGTAATGTTATCTAAATGTTATAATTATATCATGTTATAATGTTTCGACACTATACAGACATTATCTTCACCCACAATTCAATAAGATGATTAGTAGTATGTATAAAAATATTAAGGAGATGTATATTGTGATGCCCAAAAGTTAGTAATCTGTATAAATTTAGCGTATCCTCATGCTTACGAAATTCAGTTAGCGGAGCACGTCACTGAAGTTGTGATGAAGAAAGGGACAGATCAGCAGACACAGCATCTTTTAAAAGAGAAGAGTTGCTGTGGTGGTATTTTTTGCAGATTAAAGTATGACCTTTTTTTTAAATATAGTTTTCATTTTTATTTCAGTCCACAAATTATTTTCATTTAGTGTTCGTTTTTGTTTCAGTTTTAGTTTATGATGACATTGCGACACTGGTCCCAACAAGTCCAATGCGCACGATCATGCACACCGGCACCGTCAATGTAGAATAAGCCCAGATTTTAGCCTAAACATTTTTACACTTTTTCAGTGGAAATTCTAATGTAGCAGGCAGAAAACTTTATGGCTTTAATAATGAGTGTATTTAGTAGCTACAAGGGCAAAATATATTAAAAAGCTCTCCATACTAATTGCCAAGCTAATAAACATGAATAGAGAGGGGTTAGGGTGCCTTTGACTTCTCTGACAGCCCATCATCCAGAATAGCTCCTGTGTGTTGTCTCTTCAGGCGCTCGTGCTAAGCACTAGTGCCACTATGGTATGCCATCAAACTTTGCACAGTGTTCTAACCACCTTTTTGTTTGTGATAATTTGAACTACAGTTGTACCTCGGTTCTCGAACTTAATCCGTTCCGGACTCCGGATCGAATCCTAAAAAGTTCGAGTTCTGATCGAATTTTTCCCATAAAAAATAATGGAAAACCAATTAATTGGTTCCCGGCCCCCGAAAATTACACCTAAATATGTTTTGTTTTTTTTTAAGCATTTAAACACAAAATGAACAGGATAAAACAAGAAGAACATTTTTTTTTCTTAATGGCTGCCAAAACGATAAAGATCTTATCCCCATGTGATCAGCTGTTTCTGGTTGTTGTCATTAGTTCTCTGTATTAAGTCCGCGTTTCAGTTTGTTTCCCCAGTCCGGTCATTGGGTGCGTTCGACTTGCTTACAGCGCTGGCTTAAAGCAACGCATTCTGATCCTGACGCAATGCATTACGGTTAGATGCATTGCGACCTCTCACCCGGCTGCACAAACTGGAACCGCCTCCGTGACGACACACCTTTGCCCTTATTGGCTGAAGAGTTTAGTTACACGCATGACGTTTGTATCCCAGGCAGTTCCGATGCGTAATCTGCTATTTCTCCCGAATATCACGTAAAGCAGTGAGAACTGGTTTTCAGTTAATTTACCTGGTAAAATAAAGTTTAAATAAATGACATAAATGCTCTAATAGTACACGTAAGTTAGTGTGTTAGTGTTGCACTGCTTTGTTTGGTTAATCGTCCAGCCTGTGAAGAAGGCATTCAAGTAAGAATTGCATTGTAGTATGACTAGCTCTGGAATACACCTCTTGGTGCTACTTGGACACATCATCAACTCATTTCCTGGCGCTTACAATTTATATTAGGTCAGCGTTCACGGTTCGACTTCTGATATTCAGATCGAGTTCTAGGTCAAACTGGTTTGTTCGACTTTCAAGAAATTCGAGTTCTAGTGAGTTCGAGAACCGAGGTACCACTGTACTCTCATAATTATGTAGTGATATTAAAGGGAAACATTTGTTATAATGAAGTATCTTAGAAATCATAAAGGTAATTTTATTTAAATAATTAAATTAAAATGATGCGTTTATTTAAAATATTGATGTCGACCTATTTTCAGTATCGACGTCATCAGCTATGTTGACTAATCACGGCAGTCCTAAGCGCAAGGCTATGGTTCAGCTGCAAAAGGCCCTAACTCAACCAAAGCCATTCACTCATGTTTCAAAAGCAAATAATTCTGTCGATGAATTTGTCAGTGCCACCAAAATGAAAAGTATCTTCGGCATAATTTTAACCATGAGAGTCAAAATGCTTAGATATTTTGTCAAAATGTCAGTGTAAGTATGCTCCTCAGCTCATCGATTCTGAAAGATAATCGT